CTTAATGTGAAGAACTTTAGAGGAACTGAACAACCAGGAAATAAGCATCCTTTTCTAATTATGATTTCTGTATTCCTGGAATATGCAGATGCTGTCAGAGATTTGTGCATTGGGCAGGATAATGAGACCTTCAAGATCCATTTGCTTCAGTTTCTAACAATTTAACATGAGTCAAATGTCCTCCCACGAGAACCTCACCTAGGGAAAGTAATCCAAAGGAATAATTTTTTGAAGGTGAAGTTTTTGAGCAGTGACATCAATGTAGAGAGGTGTTGTTTTAGTTCATTTTTCTGTCATTAACAGCTGCATACCATACTGGATAATTCCATGAGAATAGAGGTTTAAGTTGCTCATAGTTTTGAAGGTCCAAGGTCAAGGGGCCACTTCTGGTGAGGGTCTTCTTGCTAGTGGGGTCTCTTTGCAGAGTCCTACTCTGGTATAGGGTATCACATAGCAAGAGCTTTTTGTGTTTCTGTGTCCTTCTCTCATTCTCCCTCTGTATAAACTCGTGAGAATCAATCATGGAGGCTCTGCCCAATGACTTTATCTAAATCTTAATTATTTCTCCAAAGTTCTACCTTTTAGTTTCATGGTTGTATTAAATTTCTATCCTCTTAATACCTTTATAATACAACATATTGATTTTGGGAGGACACATTTAAGTCATAGAGGGTATTTGACCAAGGATTTGCCATCACCCCTCAAACTACACTGTAGCTGATACAATAGATCAGTCACAATTCATTCTACATGTAGAAGAAATACCTTCCCATTCATGACCTCATCAATAATTTGTTTGGCCAAATCACACACTCCTAAACCAGTTGGACTAGGCCTCCTGTCTTGTGCAGTCTCTAACCATGAGAATGTGCCAGAAGGGATGGCATCAGGGCTGGAGGAGAGAGTGGAGGATGCAGACTGCAGGAGACGCCTACTCAGGCGCTTCAAGGAGAGCACCCTTCTCTCAGCATCAGCTTGGAGCCAACTTTTCTCTCTTCTTCTGACTCAGCCATCATTAATTAGAAAAAGTGCCTGAACAGTCTTAATTTCAGTCTGAAGCTTTGCTCATGTTCAAGCTGTTGATGCTGTAGGAAAGCGTTCCCAACTTATCTCAGATCTCAGAAAAGACTTTTCTTTTCCGAGGGCTTTCTTTAGAGTGATCTTTACCCCACTTCATTGTTTCTGGAGGGCAGAGAACAGCCTTTCCTTGTGGTTTCTGCTGGTCCCACCATGGATGTATCCTAAAATGCAAGTTGGGGAGCAGTACAGGGACTAGAGCTGAGGAGGGTATCCCCCCATCATGGAACAGAAGGCATGGTGGGGTCAAGAAAAGCCTTGAGATGAGATAAGCCAAATTTCCTTCTTTCCTTTTTTTTTTTTTCTCTTTTGCTATAAGGTGCATGTGTTCTCCAGAGAGAGATAGGGAGCTTATTCATTTATTCAACCAGCACTCCTAGGGTGCCTGCTCCAGCTGAGCTCCTGCACTGAGCTTGAGAATCTGAAGCCAAATATGGGCCTACTCTTCTATTACGTTGTTGGGAAAGTCATGACATATTTTTCCATTTTTCAATGCAAAAAAGTCATGACTTTCCTGACAACCTAGTAGAACCAGGTTCTAAGGGCAGGGATGGAAACCTATCCTGTGAGCCCCTGATTCAGCGGTGAAGCCTGGACTCTGGTGGCAGAGAGAAAGAGATCAGGAAGGTCTGAAGATTCCCAGTGGTGTGGAGTAGGCTTTGGTGGGGAGGCAGCATTTATATAGAGCAAATCGTATGAGGAGGACCTCAAAAGAAGGAGAGAAAGGGCACGAGGCAGAGAATGTGGGGCTGATCCTGGACAGAAATGCAAAGTGATGACAGTGTCTGGCCAATGTAAGAAACAGCAGAAACCTGCATGGCTCAGGGTGCCTGATGAGAAGGAGATGGAGGGAGTACATCGCGGTGACTTCCAAGTTCTCAAACCCAGTGCCAGCCTCGTCTCTATCTCCTGTCATCTGGCAACCTTGGCGAAGGTGAAAACCATCTCTGTAAATCTTAGTTTGCTCATCAATAAAATAGAGGCAATGTTTTTTCTCAGGATGACAGGATTAAACCAGAAAATACATGTATTTGGCTAAGATAGGTCTATATGAACATTTGCATCTATGTCCACAGATCTGTGTCACTGATATCCATATCTACACACACACACGCATGTGTTTGTGCACACACACAGTGTATCAGGGTTGGAGTACTGCGAAGGCTTTGAAACAAATCTCTTATTACTTATAGGTTTCACTTCTCTGTTTTTGAGCAGGCATTTGGCTCTGGGAAGTGGTGAGAACATCCTGGGTGTGTCTGGTGCCCGGGTCTCCCAGCCCAGCCTCTTTGCCAGAGTGTAGCTGGAGTGTAGGGTCCAAAGTGGGCAATCTGGCTGCGGCCTGGGGTGTTGGTGAGGGTATGAGTTGAGACTGTGGAAGCCTACTTTGGTAACTGTGTTGGGACCCTGGTCAGATGTCCAATCCTCTGGGTGGTCCTGTTTGTTCTGTTGCCATGGAGACCACATTGCCTCAGTTCAGACCCATCCTCCTACTTCCTGGGGAAACAGTTTGAGTGGTAATGGGTCATTATTGTTGATGAAAGGAGGTGCCTTCTCATAGCCACATGGGTGTTAAGCAGGCTTGACTTAGGTACAGTAAACTCAAAGAAAGGGTTTGCTCAAAACAGACAGTTGGGGGAAGGGACTTGGTGAGCCTCTACTAACCATCGCTCCCTCAGCTTGGCTTCCCAGGGTTGGGGGGGGGCGGGGGCTGGATAGGGTAGCGGAGTCCTGGGACCTCAGAGGGCAGAGACTTACCCAGGAAGAACACTGGGGGCCTTTGAATTCGAGACACACTAACTGGCGGCCTGCTGGTAATTCTAATAGTAACATTTACTGAGCACTTACTGTATGCCAGGAATTGTGTGAAGGATTTTTTATCTGTCCATCTTTGTCTATTGTGTTGTCAGAAAAGCCAGGATGCGTTGAAAAGTACATCCTGACTTTTCTGACGACCTAATATATATACATAGTATATAAACATTCAGATGGGAAAAAAGCATCTGTATTTTTATGATCTCCCAGTAAATATTTAGTGAGTCCTTCAATTACGAGTGCAACAACAGGCCACAGTGTTATTCTCAGGACAGTGACTTTGTCATCCTGGACACCACAGACGCTAAACCAGAGAGGACTGATGCTGAAATTATGGGAAGGACGTAGGGTATTTTCTCAACTTTGGTTATCACAGGACGTGAACACAAGTGGCATTTTCTTCATAGCTTTATGAGCCGTGTCGACATAACAGCTGAGGGAAGATGCCTGGCCCACTGCCAAGGAGGCAGCGTGAGTAACATTTTCAGGCTTACACTGTGGAAATTTCCTCAGACGTGTCTTTGGGCTTATAGGTCAATGTTCTGAGCTCGACTGGAAGTCAGAAAAGTGCTCCAATTAATTAGTAGGATTTACTTTTCTTTTTCTTTTTTTTTTTCTTTTTGGAGATGTTTTTGCTATAGGGCGCTAGTGCTCGCCAGAAAGACAGAGAGAGACAGAGAGAGAGAAAGCGAGAAATCACCCCCCAGGGGGATGGCCACGCCGCAATCTCTTCTCCATTCTCTCGGGATCTTGGGCACGTACACACACGTGCCTGGCATGAGTTTAAGCCACTGGGTCCGGGACTTGAACCGTGGTCGACTACATGGGAGTCCAGTGACACAGCCATTACGCTAACTGCTGGTACCAGTAGGATTTACTTTTTTGTTTGTTTTATTTTGTTTCTCATTCATTCAAACTTTTCTTGTTGAGATATTAATATGATTTATGTCCCATGAAATTCACTCTTTTAAAGTATATAATTTGATGAAGTTTTAGTATATTCATAAAGTTGGTCAGGCATCACCACTATCTAATTCCAGAACATTTTTCCTTTTAAAAAAGAACTGTTTTGGGGACCAGCAGTTGGCATAATGGCTATGTTGCTGGACTTCTATGTAGTCGACCGTGGTTTGAGTCCTGGATCCAGTGACTTAAACTCAAACTGGGCACGTGTGCCTGCATGCCCAAGATCCCGAGAGTAGAATGGTGGAGAAGAGGTTGCAGCGTGGCCATCCCCCGCCCCCCGCCCC